TCAACAGAAAAACTTACAGCAACAAAAGTCATCTTATCATGGAGTTCCTTCTCCAAGTTTTTTTTTAGATGCACTATACAAGGAAAACATAGCACAAGACCGCTTTTCAGTCTGCTTGGGCTATAAAGGTACAAGAAATTATTAGCTAACATGCTCGGTTTTCATTTCCAGAACAAGTGCTAACACATATGAGACAGTTTACAAAACCAATGCATGTCTGTAAATGTCCAACTGCAAGGAAACAATTCCTGGAGCCATACATCTGAAAACAAGCTACATCCAAAAAGGACTATATCTTAATGACAGGAAGAATAAAAAAATAAATTCTTAATGGAAAAATATTAGCTTGAAGTCCATTGTTTATCCCTTATACAATGTTTTTGGCTGTTTTTAGAAAGTAATCAAAATATAATGAATATATTTGGCTTGGCAACAAGTTATCCTTTCCCTTTCAGAATAGTACAAATCCAGTTGCATAAATCTTTTCTCAACATTTCAGTCTAATACTGTGGTGCGAGGATCAAGGGTTTCTCGAAATAGCCAGGAAGTAATTTTGGGAGCCTGCAATTCAAACCCAGGGAACGCAAGGAGACTGGTCTTGAGGACCATGTCAACACAAGGCTTTGAGCAGTTTAAAAACACACACGTGGGCATGGTTTAAACACCTGTGTGATCTCCCAGGATCACAGTGTGGCTTGGCAGCACAAGCAGGGTAAAACTAGTTTAACACACAATACCACAATCCACACTTAATCAGAAAGAAAGTTGGGCTAAAAAGCATATATTATTAAGTATCTTTTTAGCTCAGCCATAGTTCAGATCTTGGAATCTAGAAACGCATCTGCTGGCAATGAACCAGCTGGGACTCGCAAATTGTACTATTCAACTGGATTTAAGCTTTCTGAAGTGGAATTCAGATTCTCAAAAACATCTTAAATGATATCACACTTTGTAAGCTTTCACAAGTGACTACAGAGCAGCAAAGCTAAGTCAGCAGGTAGGATAAGAGATAACTCATTAGAATTAAATGAACTAGGAATAAGGAGGTACAAATCCGTCTTTTGGTGGTGAGAGGGGTAGAGCTGAAGCTGAAACTCCACAACTCTTCCAAAAAAAACGCTCCGAGAGAAAAATCAATAGACTTTTATGAAATCTACCCTGCAATAAGAGCTCACTGAGATTTTAAGATTCTCCAAAAATGTAACCTCAAAGGAGGATTTAAGTGGGAAGATAAAAAAAAGAGATCAAAAGGACAGATATCCTGCACAACAGGTGTGTTCACTAGCACAGGCAGAGACATTAGTTTAAAGGTCGTATTTCCAACCATCCTCCCTGCTGGGAAGAGTCCCACCAGCTAAACAAGATCACTTGCCTGAACAAGGACTATTTACACAAAAGTCATCCTAGTCCCTCCCTGCCCCCTCTAGGAGTTTGTTCGTTTGCTCTTTTTCATGTAACACCACCTCTTTTACAATAGGGGTTGTTTCTTATATAAAAACCCTGATATAACTGGATGGATCAACACTGGTTTCCAACAGTTTCTTTGCTGCTCAGTAGAAACATGGCAGAAGTTTTGACTGGCAGTTTATAGTGACTTGTTATAATGGTGTTCATCTCTAAGCCTAAAGAAATTGATGATGAAAGAGTCAAGTTGTAATTCTCTTCAGCTAACACATTATCAGATTTAGATAAAATATTCTCAATGCCTTCACATCCTCATGGAAAAAAGGGCGCTTCCTGAAACATCTGAGTATTTTTTTCATGGAAATCTTTTCTTCCTCTCGGTCACTCAATAGAAACAGCAACACTGGGCATCCCTATGATGATCCCAAACAGCAGATGCCCAAGAAAACTCATATTACCATGTCAAAGATTATAACATCTTACACAAACCAATTTACCACATTGAAGAGGTATTCTGATTTCTTCATTCCTAATAGGGTAGTCCAAACCAATTTCCATTAAACGGCCACAAATTTCAGCATATTTTTAAATGTTACATTATAACTATTTTTCCACACTTATTTCCATGAATCTTATCAGCTCTCCCACTAGAAAATGGAAAGGCAATACCTGTTAAGTCAGTCACAAACCTGGAACCATTCACATCACACTTGTGTGAGAAAGTACTTAAGGGATATTTTTTACAGCATGGGCTGTTTAATGTGAAGTGTGTCATACAGATGGCACTGTATATAATATATATTAACTATGTAGGTTATAACTAAAGAAAAAAAAACAAAACTGAGGAACAAAGCTAAAATTCTACTCTGCATCCCAAACTTTGTGACTTTGATTCAACACTAAAGGACATGAGACAAAAAACTTAGTCCTGTGTTCTGTTTTTAAATAAATGCTTATCCAATGCAAAAGGGTAGTCCCACTGTCTGAGGAGCTTATCTTCACATAAGAGGGTTCTCCAACATGAAGGCTATGTCAGCAGAAGAGTAAGTTCTGTTCTTAGATTTTAAGTAATAGCTATTACAAATCTCTTGCCATCTCATCCAAAATCTTGAAATTTGAAAAATCTTCGCCTTCTATTTTGACAAAACAGTGTGTAATTTGGAATCTAGATATATAGTAGATTTTATCCTTTATACAACCTGCAACTTTGGGAAAGCCTTGGTAAATTTGTTATTCTAAATTTTTATTTTTTCTTTGTGGCACCATCAGGCTAATCACTGCACTGCTCCTCAGCCAAATCCACCCACGATGACACCAGTCACATGAAGGGCACATCAGTTCCGGTCATTTAACCTACACTCTATCCCCCAGAGAGTTCACCAAATGGTTCCCCTGCTTCCTACAGTCTCCTTACAGACACAGGACAAGCACAATGGTTGCATTTCCTTCCTTAATGCAATTCAGGTTTACTAGGTATTCCACACAGGTATCAAGTAGGCTTTTGGGTACCTGGGACAGTCTGCAAACACACTGCTTAACCACAGCCTGTAAATGCTCCCAAATACACACCTTGAAAGGCATTTAAAAAACCCTGAACTTGCTTATCTGAAGGTTAAGCCCCCTTTTCAATTTTTTGTTTCCTTTGAGATAGACTAACACTTCTGCCCATCAAACACTGCTCAAATGACACATGAGTTTATGGAATTTGCTGTTCCCCAAAATTACATTGTTAAAACATAAGGAAGAAGGAATGGGGACACATCTGTGATCCAACAAGTGTACTGAAAACGTGGTATAACTAAGCCCTTTGTTTCTCACATATTTATTGAAAAGGACAAGTTTCTGGTTACTTTAAATTCACAACTGAAAAATGGTATTGTATGACCTAATCACAAAGCTGTATGGTGAACACCACACACTTACTCAACCACATTGCAGATGGAACTGCTTTAACCTAACATTATTTGAAAATATACATCCTAAAAAAATAATCCATAGTATGTGGCATATAGTTATACAGGCTTCTTGCTAAAGAACATATTTTTTTTTTATCAAAATAAAGACAAATGAGATTCCAAAATATTCATCAGGTGATTCTTTTAAAAGTAATAAAATCGCTTATGTGGTATGTCAAAAGTTTTCACTTTGAGGCACAAAAATAAATGCAGACACCAGAACTTTGTAAGAGTGACACAATATATCCGGACCTTCTTCCAGGCTACTCCAAATCATTCTGAGCAGGCATTTTGGTAACATGTGAAAGCAAACAGCACAGTGAAGTAAATTAAAAGTGAGAGTATTTAAAACTAGCAGACCAACTTTCAACATACAGAAGAACTGAAAATTCTTCATTAAATCAGTTAGTAAAACCAAAATCAGTAGCACAGGTTAACATACACAAAAAATTATATGAGTTAACCATTAAAAGAATTTAGCATGTAAATCAGATATGGGAAAAATAGCAATGGTAAAACACTATATACTGATGTTGCAGAAAAATGGTTTTTGCAAGAATAAGCCTTAGGTCCAGTTTTGTTTACACTTTCAATTAAAGTATGTATCACATTAATGAAAGTTACCAATTACATAGAACCAGGAAAGAGGGCACACAAAAGGGGAACAAATAAAAATAATTTAGTGCCCTCAGGGGTCAAAGCGTGTAAGACCCAAGATAATCATGAAACAGGAATTAAGTCTCTAGCTGCAAAAGGTTCATAACAACATATTGAAAGTGAAGAAGAAACTCGAAAAGCAGCAATGCTCAAAGTTATTTAAAGCAGTTGTGAGAAAGAAATACGATTTGGGTTTGGGAGACAACAGAATTTTGGTCTTCCTACATAAAAGCATCACGTTACAGAGGATAAACCCTACTAAACAACAATCACACTTAAGAGATGACCTTCAGACTAAGTCCAATAAATCATGCATGTGGAATGGTAGTATGGACACCAAGATATGGAGAACTGAGCTAAAAGCTGAAAACAAGAAAAAGTTGTGTAAAAAAAGCAGACTAAAAAAATAGCATGAAGAAAGCAGAAAGGAATGGAAATATACAGATAGAACCAGTGTGTGCATGCGGGTTCCAAATTACAAAGACCATGAGGAATATGCAAAATGGTACAAAACAAGGCTTGGAATACTGGTACGAAATTACAAAAAAGAGCTACTAAACATCAAGTAAATTCTCCTGTCAGTGAGATGTAATCATTGAAATAATCTTCCAAAGGAAGCCTAATTGTTTAGAACATATATAAAATCTCACTGGCCAAGACAATATTAAAACTCACAAGTGTACAACCCTGCTTTTGCAAGCAGATGGACTAGATAACCTAAATAATTTTTTCAACCCTATCTCCTATGATGATGTTCAGAAGATCTGACAGGCTCATGCACAATACCCTGCAGTCCTACAAGTATGTGAGCAAGTTCAGTAAAAAGACATTGACATCAATTATGAAGACAAGCACAAAAATATATATACTCCACAACCTCTTTGTAAGGCTACATTTGTTTTGTTTTTGTTTTTTTTAAAGGCACCTCATCCTCTAGCTATTGCCAGCTTTTAAAAAAAATCACTTTTCAGTTTGAGCACGAGCTCAATAGCGAGAAGGAAACATCTTTCAATTCACATTTGAACAGCCACGTCTTACATTCCAATTGTAATCAGAATGACAGTCTTTAAAAACAAGCATGCTGGCCTACTAGTTTTTATGTACAGCAATTTAAACAACTGTGACTACATATTGTACTGTGTAAGCAAAAGCACAACATTCATTTCATACTCACACCATTATCCTCTGTATACACAAACTCAAGAGAACTCTTAATACTAAAACATTAAAATGCACCCATGGAGTCTTCCCTTACTAGACACATTTAATACATGTTTACAATATATATACACATATATAATATACATAACTTTTAGAATTTTTCAAATAAATCTTTGCAATTTTCTCTTCAAAAAGAAATAAAATAATGACACTGAAAGAATATGAGTCAAGTACACAGAACTCTCACAAAGTTGAATGCTCAGTTTTGCAGCCAAGTTTCCCCCCTTCCATCATAACCAAAACATTTTATAAAAACTAAATAATCTGTATTATTATTGTAGTCATCTGTTTTATGGTAAAAGTTCTAATCTTATCTATGGAAATATATTGCATATCAATATCATGAAGTGACATATCTGAATATTCTGAGCAATAAAAGGTATTCCAGGATATTTTAGCAGTACATATAATGTGTTGCAGGCTCAAACAGCACACAGGTCAACCTTTTACCTAAATAATATACTTGATTTAAACTCTGAGATCAGTTTCAAATGTGGTCCCATCCCCTAATGCCATCTAAAACCAACACAGTCAAACCCTATTTTGATATCTTTCAATTACTTCTGTTTACAAAGTGTCAGTTTAAAGGTAAAGATTTATTTATCAGTTTCCAGTCTTAACCTCAAGCTGGTATATGAAGAGTTGCATTGGGTTCTTTCCTACTCGCATCAGCATCAGAAATCATCTCCAGCAGAAATTCTGCTTTCCATTCCCATTAGAGGAAAAGACCAACTTCACGCTTATGAACAATAATAACTCTGATGATGACACATAATAGAAAAGAATCCACTCACCTTCCTCTAAGAAGGGATAAAAAGACTAAAAGATTGGATTAAAAGTTATTTGTCATTCAAGTCAACAGAGAAGCTCTGAATAGATAAACAAAGCACATCTGTTGAGTAGTTACAAGAAGTACTCATTCTTCAGGTAACCTAATCAATGGCACGATACATCCAGCAAAGCAGACAAGTTAGAACAACCCACAAAAAGTGAAGCTGGGAAATACCTCTAGAAGTAGCAGAATCTCTCAAACTGATGGAGTTTTGTATAGTTCCCACCTATTCCACTAGCAGGACTCATACAAAGCATTAGGTATAAATTTAATCTTCAAAAAAAGTATTTCATGTTATCTTTTAATGCCCAGAATGATACCCTTTTTAGCAGAAACAGGAAGAGGAGATGAATGTTTGATAACTAAATTGTACGACAGCTTCTTTGGAAAGCTTTAGGATAATTTCTTGTGCCAGGTCTCCAAGAATAAACAGCATTGAATAAGTTAACATCGCTACTGCAGTATATACAGACTGCTTCAGTCTGTTGTTAATTGGGACTTAGAGTAAAGGCTCAGCTTCAAGCCATATGCTAATACAGTCTTTAAAAATTATATAAATTTTTTTGCAAACTAAATATTTACTGTATAACATAGAAGATGTAACAGAAACTTTGCTGCATTTTAATTTATGTTAGTAATCTGCTTTCCTTTAATTGCATTTATCTTAGGCTAGCAACCAGATTAGGCTGAGATTAACAATCTGCTACTGCTCTCTGAACAAGATCTACTTTATTCATACCAAAGGGATGACAAAGTGCCTCTCACGTGATACAGTAATGAGCATGTGAACTGACTCTGAATCACTTTTTCCAGGTGATTTAACATTAAGATTCCTCAATGAGAAGCATCCTAGGAAGTTTCCCTCTTTTCCTACTCCCTGATGCAATTAGACCCCTTCTTTCCAGTACTCTCATTTTATTAATAGAGAATACGTAGACCTAGTTTCACCCAAGGCCTGCCTGGACGAAAATTCACACCCTCTAAAATAAAAGCATTTATTTTTTATTTTTTTTAACTATGTGAAACTGAGAGATTCCAAGCTCTCAGCACCAGCTGAGCTCACAGAAATCAGAGCAAACGTCAATTTAGAAAACAGCACCCTGCAAAACTAAACACTTACAAACATTCTCTGAATTACAGGGCAAGATAAAACAACTCATGCCCTCCTCTTCTCTTTGTGCAGCTGGTTAAATATATACAAAGCTAAAGTTGAACAGGAAGCACTCTGTCATACAAACACTTTAGCCAGGGCATCAGCTCCTGCACTGGCAATATAACATTTGGAGGGGTGGAATGCCACATCATGAATTGACTCATCAAATTTTTTGCGATGAGCAGTAAATTCTTGGATGCAGGTCTTGCTTTCAAGATTCCACAAGCGAATTGAGCAGTCATGACCTAAAGAAAGGGGAAACAGTTTTCTTTACAATTCTCATGTCTGCCACCATTATGAGAAAAAGAAATGAAATCTGAATGTACTTACTGCCAGACATCAAATACAAGCCATTAGGATCAACAGCTAAACTTGTAACTGCATCTAAGTGAGCTACCATGGAGTGGATCAGTTTTCCTTTGAAAGAAAAGAGTTATTTATGTTATTTTCTGCAATTAACTTTGTTATTTGTATTCACTGTGAATGACCCTACCACAGCTGACACTATAAATAGAAAATCCATGACTGAATCATTAAAATTATACAAGAAGTCATTCTTTTAAATTTACAGTCTCCGGAGAGGCACAGTAGCAGTATCATCAACATTGTGAGACCTTTGTTTTATGTCTGCAAAGCCACCCTGGTGCTGCAATCACTGCATTTTAAATAACTGCCTCTTAACTGAATTGAGTTCTGAAGTAAGATCTAGAATGGAAAGGAAAGCAAGGGTTGAGTATACTAAAAGCAATGATATAAACTACCTAAGAATATGGGATGATTTTAGTAAACTCAGAGAGAATTATTGTTCTATTACTATTGCTATCATTGCAATTACAGCAATGATTTCAGATTAAAAAAAAGAAATCATGGGTCTAGGAAGCACTAGAGTGCCAGAGCTTCCTGTTCTCCAGATCAAAATAACACAGATAACCAATAGAAGAAACATAAACATAAGCCCATAAAGATTTTGAAAAAGCTTCCTTTTATGTTAAATATTTATAAACCCCATACATAAGGTATTTTATAAGAAGAGACAGAAAATTAGCAGGTTCCTTATCACTGTGCCAACAAAGTTTTAAGTGGGTTGGCAATCTTTGGGATCTACTGGTGACGAGAGATTTCTGTTTCAGAGGCTATCCAGTTCTTGACATCCCTCAGCATTTATGAGAATAATATTAATCTTAATGAAATTCTGGTTATGGTTTACATTATACAATGGCTATACCTAAGACCTGCTGAAGAGAAGCATACCTGTATTGTTGTCGTAGAATTTGATGTGTCTGTCTTCATGAGCAGTGATACTAATTGGAAGAGTTGGATGGCTGATGACTCTGTTTATCTGACAGGAGGAACTGATTGCTTGAAAAAACCAACACATATCATACATGTCAATTTCTAAATTCTTTGAAAGATTGCTACTAAGAAATAAATATGTAATCCATTTTATTTGCAAAATAATTCTTACATTTATATACTGGAAACTCTCAGCTAGCATCTTATTTTATATGGTTTACTCTAAAATACTTTCCAAATTACACAGACACAGAGGCATACATAAACCATATGTATGCCAAATAAGGTCCAACCTTTGGACATAGTTTTAGGTAGACACGTCAGGCAAAAATGTGAAACCGAAAACTGAGTGAAAACATCATTTTTGCACTTCCCCACTGCCACATTCCTCCTCCTGCCAAGTAAAACTTTCTTCATAACATACAGACAGTACAGGCAGTTTATTTCAAGCAAATAAACCCCACCCATTATTATTTGATATATATGGATTAAAATTATGATTATTGGGAAAAAAAGGATGCTGGACTATTCATAGGAGAGTCATTTTCCTATTCTTCAAAAATTTTGAAACAGCATGCATATATATATATATATATATATATATATTATATACACAAACAAAAAGTAATAGGTATTCTGATTAGAAATCTAGGTCTTGTTGTGATTCACAGATTAGTGCAAAGGTGGTCTTAAGAGGCATAAATTATGACAAAACCAAAACCAGTCACTCCACAGTACATCAAAATACAGGTGTTGTCTTTTATGTTGACTGTATTTAGTTAAACTGCTTCCAAAGAACACATTATTTAATCAAAATTCTTACTAAAATAAACAAAATAGAATACTACTATAGGATCACTTGCTATTAAAGTGGTAAAAACTTCAATTTACATATTTCTATAAAAATCTGAACCATCAAGCCTTGTCAGCATCCATGGAACACCTAGAAATCATTAAAGTCTAAATTAAGCAAGAAAACCACATTCATATGAATAAACCCCCCTAAAATAACTGAAAGCACATGAACCTTCATCACAGCCAGCTATCCTCACAGTTTGACAATGACAAGCAAAGTGAGGCTTATACTGAACAGCAGAGTCCCTGCATAGTGGTGGTAGGGCATTTTAGGTGACTCATTTTCCTCTTGCCTAGTTCTTGTAGAAATAGTAATTTACTTCTTTAAAATACTTGTAAGCTTTATAGTACTATTACATAACTAAAGATACTAAATGGAGACTGCTAGCTGCCATATCATGGCCTTGTTTTCTTAAAGGAGCATTACTGAATTACAGCAAGGAGGAGATAAAAAAAAAAAATAGAAGGGGGAAGGAAGAGGGAAGCAGAAAGGTAACTTCCACTGACTCAAGTTAACTAATTTAGGACTGCTTTTTCAGATAGGAACAAAGGTGTGAGTTAAAAGAAGAAATCCTGCACAGTAAGGAATACCATAAAGAAGGGAGATGGCACTTTCCATTCCGTCTGATAAAATGACAGGCATTTAACTAGTTTAAAACAGACAAGCAAAGCCAACAAGAAGGGCTTAGTCCTTTAAAAAAACCTAATTAACAGCAGAAGTCAGTGACATAAAACTTTAAGGAGCGTGTGGGGGGATGGGGGGGAATATAAAAATTTTTTTAAAAAAATTATATTGTTATCAAGTTACCATTGTGGCTTGAATATTAAACCTTTGGTCTCTTTTCTAACACCAGGGTAAAATAATTTACTGATAGCAGGCTCCTCACAGTATCCTCTAAAACTTCTCATATTGGCCATTGCCATGATCCAGGCAATCCTGCCATTGCCAGGACCTTGTCAATGAATACTCTTCCACTGGAGTTTTGCTTTTCTCCTGCAGTGAAAACTTCAACTACAGCCCAAGTCCAAATGAGGCAAGAGCGTAAGAAATCTTTGAAAAGGGATACCTCCGAGGAAAAATAAAAAAGAATCCACATACACTCCTGAATTTTTGATAAACTCAACTTTAAGTTTTCCTGATATTACCTCTATTTTGCAATTTTGTACTGAAGAGGAAAAAGAAATCTTGAAACTGCAAAGACCACTGAGCTGTACTAGAGAAACCTGTGTTTTTCCTTGTGCTACTGTCTTTTGAAAAGCAATTCAGTGTGATCTATTTCAAAAGCACATGCACTCTTCTGCTACTGAAACACCCACAAGGTCTGTTATAGTAATAACAATTTACTATTACATCTCAAAACACACCTTGTAACATAACTCATGTTATAATTTCTCATGACACTGCCTGTTTGGAAACACCAAAAAGATTATCAACAGTATCAATCTTAAAGAAGCAATTTTTTTTTTCCTTTGGTCAGTTTGGGTTTTTTTGATACATACTTGTATCCACACTGGACTCCAGGGTAAGAATTCGTTGCCGTGTCTCCATGTTAAAAATGCTAGTGTGTCCACTGTTAAATGATGCTACCATGAGGCTTGGGTCACTGCTCACAAGGTCTACTGAGGAAGGGATTCCCATTTCTAGAAAACAACGTAGTGATTTAGTTGGTATAAAGTAAACAAAAAAAAACCAAACAAAAAAACCCCAATCAGTAAGCACTTTAACATCTAAAGGACCACGATTATGAAAGGAAATATTGCATTTTAAAACATACATTATGCCCATCTAAATAGATTGTCCAGTATGATCACTATTTTAATCCTTTTTTTTTTTTGATGTGTATCAACAACATTCTTTACTAAGATCCTGTATCTGGAACTGCAGCTGGGCAGAAATCTACTTTGAAATTAAGAAAGTAAGAACTCCCTAGGCCCTTTTCCTTCCTTTAAGTGTAACAGCAATTCTCAAAAAACACAAAACGACTCCAATGCCTCAAGTAAAATGACATGAAATTGAAATGGTAAAACCACTGACATAACAGATGATTAACATTATTATTATTGTTAACTTGGGTAAAATCAGAGCTTAAAAAAATCCACCAAAGTTCTCAAGGTGCAAATTTTACACCCTGACACTGTCATCATAGGAAGTTATATAATTACATTATAAATTCATATTTCAAAGCTTTGCCTATTGTGGTATTTATCTGACCTCCTTACACTGTAGCTATCTGAACACTACCGGAGAGAAGGTCAAATCAGCAAAGCTTGGGTATAGGATTTATCCCTTGGGATTTTTCTCCTCAAATGTCCTGTTCACCACCTGCTATGTGAAAGAACAACACCGGTAGCAAGAGACACCAGGAGGAGGAGGAAAAGATAGAGAGTGAGACACTGAATTTTAAGCAAACTAATGTTATAGAATCAGATAACACAGGAATATCATCATGTCTCTCTAAACTCTAAAGATTCATGGGAGAAACATTTTTTTTGGACACAGGACCGCCGGAATATTTCTAAGGAATGGTGGTACTTATCTAGAGGTACTCCAAAAAGAGCAAAAAAAGGATTGGAGTGAGAAGAAAACACATTATTTCTGAAGTGACCTTTTCTACTGCTGCCATGCATGGTGATCTGCAGCTTCTTGGGAGGCCTATAATGGTTAATCTAAAGGACTTAAATGATGAGTGAGAGTTTGTTCAAGGTTATCAATAAGCCATATGAAAACTAGGTTTCAAAGGAGGATCTTTGAATTTCACAGCTTTGGCAAGACTAGTCCTCCCTCCCCCTTAATTTAATAATTAAAAACAAAACAACTCCCAAAAATACCCAACAGTTACCAGGAAGTTTTCAAAGTAGGTAGATAGGCAATAAGCTGGCAATAAGCCAGTTATGTTTTTTGTAGAATCCTGCAGACCTTTGGAAACATATTTTTTGCAAAAACTAAAATATATGAAACATTTTTTATTTTGCTCAGTATAGCATAACAAGTAATGGTATATCTGACCAGTTTTATACCATAACTCGATAAGTCTGTTGAGTTATGCTAAAGTTTATTTTGCCTCAAAGTCTTTATGAAGAGCCAAGGAACTTTTGCAGCTCATGGTCTGTCTTTAGGACAATCAACTCCAAGAGAACTTGGCAACATCAGTGGGCTCATTCTGGACCACTTAGACAGCAACTTCAAGAAATTAGACTCTAAATAGTGGGATTTTGATTTGTTCAAGACATTTCTGTAACTAAATCCAAAGATTAACATTATTTCAACTAGCAGTGCTTAGGATCAATAGGCTATCTATTTAGTTAATGTGCAAACTCAGAAATTCAACTGGAATCTCTGTGCTAGAGGCACAAGGAACAATTCTGGAAGGTACAATGACACTGGTCTGAGATGAAGCACTGGCTACTCCAAACTTCTATTAGGAGAAGAAAGGGCTTTTTATTCTGGAAAAACCAAAAGCACACGCCTAATGGAAATTCAATTTGAAACTGAATTATGGAGTTGATACATTATACTTACTCCTTGGTGCTAGTAACATCAGCAGATCATTTAAAGCAGTTGGCTTTTAGATGTTTGTGACTGTCCCCCTGCACGTAGGTATATATTCAGCTAGCATCAAAAAAGAAGGGTCCCAAAATTTACTCTTCCCATATCATCCATAAGTATATAAAATCCAGCAAAAAAAGCAAGAAGTATTTCTATTCAGTAACCAAAATTATGTCAGTCTGAACAGGGATGTTCATGAACTTCTAGGGCAATTTTCTGTACCTTGATTATCATTAAATATATTGAGAGCTGGAGCAATTTCTGTAGCTTTCCATAAACGTATAGTGCCGTCTGCTGAACAGGACAGCAATCGCTGGTGCGCTCCACTGTAAACCAGCCCCCACACTGCATCAGTATGGCCTACAAAAGCACCTCTTAGAACAGAAGGATCTGCAAACAAAACACAACAAAACACATTTCAAAACAAAATTTGAATTACATCAATAGCTGTATCTTGATCTGTGTTTATGCACCAACCTCACGGAGCTAATCCATAAAAAAAAACCAAAGCCAATCATGTCATACCAATATAGAATTTTCAATTATTCTGGTATTAAGATGCTTGAATTTCATCAGCATACACACTATTCAGTTACCCAGTTTGCAACTAAAGGAACAAAACAACATTTCAGCAGAAGGGACATTACAGAAATGGGATAAACACACTTCAGTTTGTTTCACTTTCAAGCAGCCATTAATGGTACATCAGTCCCTTTTATGCAAAAGTCAGCTTTGAGGTCAACTCCATCCAAAGCTAAAGAAGTGAAAAATAAACTTAAAATCCAGAAACAAGGCTGACATCCATTCAGATCTGGTAAATCGTACTGAACTGGGTCTTTTTACGTGTTTGTGGACAACATTAACAGTTTTGGTCTCAGACCATTAAATCTCTTTATCTAACTACACAGAAATTCGTCAAAGAAAAGAACACTAAAATACACACTTGCTGTACTTGCCAAATTATCAGGTTTAGTCCTGGACTTTTTGAATCTAGTTGTTTCTCAAAATTGTGATGAAATTAAGGCCTTTCTAAAGAAAATTTAAGACATTTAAAATTTAAGAAATTTTAAGACATTTTACCTTCTTATCAACCAGCATCAGCATTAAACCAAAAATTTACTTTAAGCAATTGAAGCTAACATTCGATTTGCTCTTTTAAACTTTCAAATAAGCATTATCTGCAAAGTATCCTATTTTAACAAAAAACATTAATGTCACTAAACAGTGACTAATGTCACTGGTGAGTTTGACACCAACATACCGTAAGAGTCATAGGGGTCAACGTTCGGGTTGGTTGTGTTCCAGCCATGGATAAGGCCATCTGTTCCCCCACTGTAACACTGTTCACCATTACTGCTCATCACCACACAGAGCACTGGTCCACTGGAAGAAACCCCCAAAGAAACATTTAATATCAACATTTTCATTATGTGAAATGCAATGCCAACAGAATCTTCAATTTTTCCTGCTAGATACAATTGACTTGCTGCAACACTTCCCACAGAAAAACCTCCACAATATTTGGTAACGTAACTACAATCAGAACAATATAATCATTAGGCACATGAAATGTGAGAAGTGTCACACTTTCAAACTGTAGGGTTTTTTATTTTGCATAAGCAGCTTCTTTTCCCTTTGTAAAAGATCTAAGGTTCTTTCGTGAAATAATTTCAGTAGATTTAAATTCATTGCATTCATTCTTCTTCAGCTTCCTTCTACATATGCACACATCTGACAAAAAGGCAAGAGCTGCAATAATGAACAGAACACTTAATCAAATTGGAACTGTATAATTTGTAGGTTTTTAATTTTAAAATTGTGGTCTACCCAGCTTCAGACATAAATAATTACGCAGAAAGGAGATGGATGCATGCAAATATTTTAAATAAAATGGGAACTAAAGACATCACAACTAAAGAAATCAGTAGCTGATAAAGTGTAAATTACCTTTTAAAAAAATTCTGTTTCTGTTTAAAAAATGTATCTTTCTCAAAATACAACAATATTTCCCAGGAAATACTTACTTATGTGCTCTGAAGGTGTATATTGGCTCTACATCAAGAGAAGCACTCCTAAATGAAGTACAAGGAAATGTTAACATGTATATGATCTTACACAACGCTTTACAAAAACGTGTTAAATTCTTAAAATCACCGTTGTCTTTTGCAGTGTTTCCCCCACAACTTTCAACACAGTTTTTCACATGTCTAGGAACTATTCGCAATCTTTCATTTGCAGGATTTGTTGTTTGGTTTGTTTTTTCAGTTTAAAGACCTTCAAGGTAGTTCACAAACTCTCACAGATCAATCAAGCCAGTAGGTAGCTACACCAGTGGTGGGGAAGGAGTGGAGAGACATCAGTATCACATGGAATATATCATTAAGTGCTCCAAACCTCTATTAGAGTAAAGGAGTTTTTGACTCCTTGTTTATATATCAAGGCTGTAGCAAAAAATTTGCTGCTCTGGACTTTATCAATCCGGTGCTTGTTACAGGCTGAGGGAAGACCCCATGTTATGCTCAGTCCTCCTCAAAGGTCTGAAGTACTCCCTTACCATTACCTTACCATTATTAGCCCTGCTACCAAATTGCTCTCATTTCTGCAAATCCCAGCAACTCACAAGAGACAGTGTACAAAGGCAACATCTCAAAGTTTAAAGCTGTACACATGTATATGCATGTATGTGTATACATACATATGCATATATATAAAAATGCATCTTACACATTTATATCCACATGCAAGCACACTAACAGGCCGCATCCAAATATTTTCACTAGTAAATTAATTTGTCATGTTATCTGCAAGGAAAATATAAAAATGTGAATGGTTTTCCTTCTTACAAACAAAATACACTCAGGAACACACATGGATTTCTTCTGGCACTCTTCAGAAGTCTCCACACTACTCTGTGAACTTGTTTTCCTACTCTTAAAGTCAAGGAACACTTTCCATGAACTCCAAGGGCCATCCTGTGAAGTGGTATCTACAATTATCTTTTTTCTTCATATATTAAAACTGTTCTTGAAGTAAAGCAAAAAAAAAAATCTTACTTTTTTGCAGGGGCTGTTTTTTGTAAATTCCACATTTTTAAAGTATGGTCCTCTGAAGCTGTTATTAAGACTGGTTCAACCGGATGAAAAGCGAGACCTCTTATTCCATCAAAGTGACTTCTTAATGTAAATTTGGGGTTCCAAGTCTTTCTCAATGCATCCTTATTGTTGGCTATCTAATAAAAAAAATGCCAAACTTGTAATTAATCTGGAAGCCACAACAAAAGGAAGACATTAGAAATTTAGTTTGGCATTTTCAGAAGGTGTGAAATTACCTCTTCCACTTTTCAAAACAACCTGCTCTTGAAAAACAGATCACTTAACACTAACCAGATAATTCAAAATGAGAATGAAGGTAGATGTATTCCATTCAACAAGTAATGTCTTGTCCACAGTAATATGTTCTATGCAAATCTGAAATATTCCCATGTCTGTAAAATTACACAATTTAAAAGCACTGATACTTAAATGAAATCAGCTAGGTATTTGAAATTTGATCTATACCTACTAGCTTCGTTCACTTTAACACTGGGCTTGACTCAACCAACCAGTGGTCCCTGAATATCCAAAATACAAATGACATGGCACCTCTGTAGTAAAGATCTGAGAGAAACAGAAGATTCTGGAAGCACAGAAAGGAACACAAGCTAACTTACTCATCTAAGGGAACTCAAGCTCTGTAATAATGCAAGACAAGTAAAGGTTGCCAGAAAATAAAAAAAAAAAAGGCAAAAAAGACTTGGCTACACACTAAGAATATAACTGGCAAGTGATAAGCTATCATGTATACAGACACAATTATTTGGCAATAAATGCATTTTAGAAGATCCAAAAAGAAAGCCTTTTAAAAAAATAACATTTACTCCAATATTGCTCCTCTGAACAAATGTTGACACAAAATGCTGAACAGACTTTTTCACTCTGTCAGTCAACAATGCCAGAAGTTAAATTTACCTTTCCATAACCACTACAGTTATGGAAAATCAAGAAAACAAGCAATTGTACTGATGTTTTATTATGTTGAAATCTACAGATAATCCAAAATAATTTATATCATTATATCATTAAGTGCAAAGAAGAGACAACTGTTTTGAGCTTCTCCAAGAATCTCCTACAATTTTATTCTAGGCAGCGGAGGGAGGAAGAGGAGGTTTAAGAACAGAAGTGCTTTTTCTTAGGTTTTGTTACATCTGAATTTAATAATAAAAATATGCATCAATTAAGAAGTTCTGTACATTTTAAACCAGGAGAAAGGAGCTGTAACAAATGCACGTTTAGTCTTTCTTTCAGTATTTCTTAATAATTATATACTGCCTTGCTCAGGGAGACAAGTCAGTTTCTTTGCCAGTTTACTGAGCCAAGTTGGCTCAATGAGGGAACAGACAAATGCTCAAGCTGGTACAAGGATGGGGTAGGACTGCACAGTTAGCAGCTCTGGCAGGTTTTCTGGAGATTGGCCAAGAAAGCCTCAGCAAAAAGGGTACAAGATGTACAGAGTATTCACAGATATCTGGAGAGGAATTTGGTTGCCTCAACACAGGCACTCAATGCCAAACAGGTGACGGAGGGAACCCGCCTGCCCTCCAGCTGCCATACCAGCAGCACAGGTCCTGCATCACACCTGCAAATGCCACGAAGACACCTCAGATGGCCTAACAGTGAATTCCAGTTCTGGACAGGTAATAGTCTTCATTTGCTTCTCATTTATTCAAAGGTGCCCTTCCAAAGGAGTCCAAGATGATTAGCTTACAAATTGGGAAGTAGATAGAGGGACGCAGATGAGGGCATTCCCAAGCCAGCAGACTGGCAGCAGAGGAAACAGATCCTAGCCCTGATGCACCACCTACCTCGCTGCACCATGTCACTCCACCCACCAGTCTCTCAAGCTGTGAGAGGCTGGGTTAGTAAACACAATAGCCAACCTCCTTCTATCTCTCCCCACTGAAATGCAACTGTGACAAGCAGTTTGGGGGGATGTTCAACTCCAAAATTAGCACCTGATCAGGATTTGCTACTACTAATAATATTTGCATCTACACAGACAAATCAAAAAGTCCAGAAACAGCAATGACATGCAAGTAGGATTGCAGAAACTTCTCTCATTCAAAGTTGTAGGAAATCAAGCAAGAGACTACTGCAAAGTCCAAAACCTCTATTATAATCTTATGAAGCTGCTTAATCTACCCAGAAGACTAGAGAAAAAAACAGAATCAACCAAAGTGAAAGACCAATGCTAAGATAACAATGCGTAAAGCAAGGAAAAAGAAAAGATAAACTTGTGATTATCAGCTAGCAATCTGGAAAATATCACCTTGTTAGATATTCTAAAAATGTACTCATAGAAGAAAAAATTTCTCTTTTAAGTAATAAATTCATAATAATCATTACCAAGTGAAAACCATTCTTTAATTCACAGACAGTCAAAGCAATATGTAGAAACTGAAACCATGAAATGAGGTAGGCTAATGCTGCCATGTTTTAGAAAAAAAGAATCTAGTAAAAATATCAGTGGGATGAAAGGGACTGAAAATGGGAAAGTGCCTGCAGCTCTTGAGAGCAAATATATTTAAAGACAGATGTACCTTGTCTTTCTACTTTATTCTCCATATGATTCAAAATTGTCACTTAAAAATAGGACAATAATATTCACTAATCCTTCCTGATTCACACTTGGCAGCTGGAAGAAGATATGAAATAGGCCAAAACAGAAACATCATCTGTAAGCTAAACTTCCAGTGAAACTTGAAATGGAAAAACCAGGCTTTCATTTTGCTTCAATGAAGTGCACAGTGACAATAGTGAGTAGCTTTGTAAATGTTGTGGGTTTTTTTTTTAATCATCAGCACTAAAAAAAGGTAAGAGTTGAGGTAAGCATGACTATGAGTTCCTGATCATAGAACTCCATAAAGGCATTTAACAAATGAACAAACAGAAGTTAGTACTCTCCACCATGCAGGATAGGATAGGAGTGGCTAAAGAAATGCTGAATTCCATAAATGAAAGCTGTTAATTCAGAATACGGAGACATGAACAAACAAAACAGTTTATATGGACACTTGAACAGTGAAGTCAAGTAATGAAAGCATTACCATCTCATTCAGATGGTTTAGGTTTGTCATGTCCTCTGAATTTAAAAATTCAGCATGTAAGTTTTAGGTGTACCTGTAAAAGCAAATAATTTGTACACCATCTTAACCCTTTCTGAAGGCATAATTAGAGAAGATGAGCAAAAAAATTAAGAACTGAGTCCAAATTAGGAGATAATGCTAAAATACTGAATTTTAGCAGAAATGTTCTGCATTATTGCAATCAAAATGATTCACAACACATCACATGCTCACAAACTTGCTATAGTAGTAGAGCATATCTCTGCAATAGCACTCTCAAAATGTGTCTAAAATTTTATTAATTTTATAATTTATTGCTTTACAAGTACACACAAGGGTAGAACTTCAAAGTAAGGACCCGCAGGTTATTTCTGGAGTCTCAGACTTGACTTGTGATAGTAAAATCCCAGATGGTGATTACTTAAGGGTCAGATTTACTGAAAGGTAGGATTCTTCACCAACACACAATAATGAAAATGATCTCTGAAATCCCTCAACCTTGACAGAGCTGGGCAATGCAATAGCAGCATTGATCTGAAGCTGACAGATCACAAGGAGTACATTAGTAAAGTAATACCTGAAGCATCTTTTCCCAAGAAATCAGAAATACAGACAAAAATTGTGTATGACTGAAAAGAAGCAATTTTAAAGAAAGTTTTTCATAAAAAGTGAAAGAAAAACAAGCTGTAGGCTACACATACAGTCACAGAAGTGCTGGCCACAAAACCCTCCTAAACACTCTCTGGTCCAGTTTCTCATTTGAAATGAGACTACTGCCCACACAATGTGAACCACAGGGCTCCCCCAGCCAAGTCTTGAACATCTCCCAGGAGAGGGATTCCACTGTGTCTCTGGGCCAGTTGTTTCACTATCACCTCCTACATAACACTTCCTCCCCCAGGGTCTTACCTGAACCTCCCAAGCCAGAATTTGCTATTGTTTCCTCTTCTTTTAATGCCTGGCACTATGGAGAAGCTTGGCTCTGTCATCCTTACAAGCACTCTTCCAGTACCTGCAGACTGCTATTTGAGCACCCCTCAGCCTCCTAAGAGCTGAACAAGAGTAGCTTCTTTAACATCTACTCATCAGTCACATGCTACTGGACTCTCTACAATTTCTCTAAAACTCTCTTGAAGTGGAGGGGCCCAAAACCCCATGCAGACCATGCAGAAGGGACATAAACTTCCCTCAATCTACTGGCCATATAGCTCCTAATTTTGCTCAGTCACTGGGGTTACACACACCCACATGTATCACTATAACTAATTACATTTACTTTCAACTACTCGCATGACGTGGCGGGCAAATGAGAAGGAGAGGGGCTTGCAGAGAGCTTGAAGACTGCTTTGTATGGGAAAAACAATTTTATCAAGTAAAAATTTGTGACAACCTCTGGCAGGATAATTTCATCTGGAGAATGTTTTCTGCTGAGTCTACACACATGTAACTTGCATCCACCTTCAACAAAAAGACAGTAAGACCTTGAGTTACCACTAATAACCACTTACATCATAAGTCAGTGAATCTGCCTCATTTGCTACAGTAAGGCCTGCCAGTTCTCCAAGACCCAGCTCATTTTCAAGGGCTTCATCTGTTCCCATAATGAAAGATTTCCCTGAAGAAGGAGGGAATGTTAAAGCTTCCACTGCAAGAAACCAAAACAAAACAAAAAAAATCTTGAAATTTGGGGTTATACAACATTGAATAACAAAAGTACATTTTCAACTTTCAAAATGCCAAACATCTTACAAGTAGCTGAGGGGAAAAAAGATATACAGAGATGCATAAAAAAAATAGCTTTTCTAAAGACAATCACTGTACTTACCAATAAACAGTATCCTCTCAACATACTTGCACTTGAGGTGTGCGTGACTCAGTAAGTGCAATTAGCCACAGGCGGGAAGAGGACACTACCATTCGCCCATAAATAATGTACAAGCAACACAGAACAGCTCAGACCCTTCCCCAACTCTGCCACAAAATATGCAAATAGGTGCTGAAGAAGCAACAAAAATGCATATAAGAATAGCTGGTGGGAGCAGTTGGACCCTTCCTTCCTAACATGGTGTCCACACCTTCCTAACGCGGTATCCACACACATCCAAAAGCACGTCCCCAATGAAGCTGTTTACATGCACTCCAATCGAGCAATACGACCAGAAGCTGACAATTCATTGCTACCTGTAAAATCAGTTTAATTACCAAACAGGTTGCTCAGCACTGAATTCCATGTTTGTACTAGCAGTATCCAAACTTACTAGTTAACAGCTTCTATAGCACGCCTATAGGAGCTTCAATCACTGTAACATGAACACATCCATAGGCAGATTCTCTAGAAGCAGTAAGATCAAAGGCTAAGGAGTACAGCATACACACTTATATCACATGAAGCTCTGCATCAAGTGGTACAACTCAAAAGCTTTACTAAGTTCTCTGTACAATAGCTCTCCAAGTCTATACAGTGCAAAAGGAGGACTGAACAGATGAAAATGTGTTATCTTCTGGATGCAAGAAACTTCACTGATCTTTATACAACTTTTATCTCAAATTACAAGGGTTTTTAAATAAATTACAATCTTTTTGCCTTTTAGCTCCATTGTAAATACAAGCCTTGGCAAATACTGTTGGAATCAGGGAGAGAGAGAAGGAAATGCCAGCTCATTCTCAGCGTCTGTTTAAGCCTAACAGCACTGATACTAAGTTAAAACCAAGAAAAATGCAGTTTACAATCAATAGCCTGATCTGTTCAGTCTGCTTCCCTCTTGTCGCAAAGGCATCAGGTTCAGATGCCATCCAATTCACCTTCAGTTCACCCAGCATAAAGTAAGCTAATCTTTCCATTCCACATTCACATCTCTATTGCGTGTTCTGTTTGCTTTCCACTACTTTTTACAACCAAATAAAAGCCTTTCAAGCTCTACTGTTCGATCAGGTCTCTTAGTTACTACCTTTTAATCACAAACATCTCTTACCTTCTTCACCCTGAAGTCTACACTACCATTCTCTTTTTCTCTTTTGAATTTATGATACAATATTCCACTCAATACACAATACATACAGGACATGAAATCTGAAAAGTTACTAGAATAAAAACATTGTATGCCAAAAATATCATGGTGTCTCAGTTTTACAAAGGAATACACAGCTCATAGTTTGCAATACTGAACTCAGACTGATAAAAATCAGCTGTCCTCCTCTTTTTTTGTGAGAGTGCATTTGAATGTCTGAATTAAAAAACACATTATTGAAAGGACATGAAAATAGTGCTCTGCTAACATAGTTCTCAGTACATGTGAGAAAAGTTGGAAATGAAACATTCAACAAAAAATTCCTCCACTTCCCCAAGTGTTGCTAAGTTACCCCCTTCTTTCATAAAGAAAACCACTGAGCATGAAGGAAACAGAACTACTGAGATCTTCGGTAACTATGCCGCATGCTGGGACTTTTTATGCATCTTAATTATAACTTGGCCGACCTACTATTTCACACTCACTGAAAGACTGTTAAGTAGAACCCATGTTTTGCTCATTTTTCAAAACACGTATTTACCATTTAAATAGGGCACATGATATCATAGAATCATAGAATGGTTTGGGTTGGAAGGGACCTTAAAGATCATCCAGTTCTAAGCAGCCATGTGTAGGGACACCTTCCACCAGACCACATTGCTTAAAGCCCCATCCAGCCTGGAACTGAACACTTCCAGAGATGAGGCATCCATAACTCTCTGGGCAATCTGTTCCAGTGTCTCACCACCCTCACTGTAAAGAATTTCTTCCTAATACCTAATCTAAACTTGCTCTCTTTCAGTTTGAAGCCACTCCCCCTTGTCCTATTGCTACATACCCTTGTAAAAAGTCCCTCTCCAGATCTCTTGTAGGCTCCCTTTAGGCAAGCTAAGGTTGCAAATTAATATAGCCTCATACACTATATGTTATTATGCTTCATATTATAGTATTCAAATATTGAATCAAACAGATGGTTCAGCATTTTTCAGACATAATACTAGTGAAGATAACCACATGCTTCATCGCAAAGATGTGTGGCCTTCCACACAAGAATTTTTTTTTAATGTTTGGAATACGTTATGGAAAGAAATACAGAGGCAAGTCCTAAGTTGTTCAGTATGATTCACTACATAATCACCACATGCATTTAAAAGCTATAGCTAGCCACCTGTGCTTACCTGCAGAGCCTCTATCTTACACTTAAAAAAAAGAGCACATTTGTATGTATGTGTATATATATAAACATACATTTAAAATTATGTGCATGGGGAGAAAAAAAGATGCTCTTATGTCCTCAGAGCTTATGTTCCCCACTTGGCTACCAGGTTTGACCACAAACAAAAGCAAGTGATTTAAGATCATCATATTACAAAGTCACCATGTGCCAAATTATTTTTTCTATCATGTTCAAAGTTATTCAACCAAGACTTGACCTTAGGTAGGTGTCTTGACCTTACTAATAGGGACCAGAAAGAAGGAATGGCAATGCCATGTATTGCACTTAGACAGAATTGGAATTTGCTGAACTGTAATTTGTAAAGTGCTCGGAAAGTCTTAGAGGATAATCTTTAAGAAGGAACTATAAACATCCATCCTTTACTAAGGTGTTATGTACATCTTTAATATTTACCTTCATCCGTCCTGTTTATCTCATGTTCAATGAGCCTTGAGCTACTGGGCCTAGAAGAAGGTGCAACAGATGGTTGTAACGAAGGGAGATCATCAACATCTCTCAAGTTTGCAAGCATATCTTGCAGCTTTGACCTGTTGGGCCCTAACCAGAAAAAAAACCAAAAAAATTTAATGGTTTATGCATAGTTCACGATGACACTACTTAGATATGCTACAGCAGCACATGCAACAATGGATCCTACCTTGCATTATGACATTACCACAGAAAAACTAATGAGCACCTATTTTCAGCAGTAACTAATCATCCAGCATGAAATGAATTTCTTGAAAAGAAAGCGATAGAAGCAACTGAGAATTGAGAACGCACAATTTTCCCCATATGTATAAACTCATACTGCTACTTTTATGGGATGCTGAAGAATGCCTCCAACTGAGTCATACTGATTATTAGAATATTTACTTTTCCAAAACAATAGCCGACATTGTGAATATTTTAGAATTTGTGCATCAGGTACTTTGCGCAGCATATTCTCATGACAACGTTATTATTTTAAATTAATTTGTGCAGTAGTGTAGTACTGTGAACTATATAATCCGAAAAGTTATACTTAAATATAATGCAACTGGATTCACTGGCCTACTTCCTGAAGCTACATATGGTGAAGACCCATGCCCTTCTTGACACTTACCTGTGCTTTGCTCCATCATTTTCCCACATCCCTGTTTTGACTGTTTTATATAGGATTGAGGCTGAAACATATCTTCGGTAGTTTTTCCTGTTGTAAGTTTAATTAAGAATGGGAAAATGTCTTACCCATAGTCCATTATGTTTTTTCCTAGACCAGTAAATAATACAGCTATTTTTAAGCAGCTTTAATACAGCAGTGTACTCTAATATATGTATTTTCTCATAAAACGATTTTATGATTCTATTCTCTTACTACTTCGCAGGAATGTTTACTACAGCCTTGCAAAATCATAAGTTTACTAATGTAGTTGCAAACTCTACTTTGTCCACCCTAACCATAATGACTTATAATAAACTAAATTGTATTTAACTTGTCTGTCACCAAATTATTACTCAATCGAGGAAAACACTAAGAAGGATTTTGCAAGATTGTTTTATATAATATCTGGTTTATAAAAACAATATTTTACTTAGTAGCAGTTCAGTGTCTAAGCACCATGTATGATGGGATTAAAGTCATAGAAACAAACTTTATAAAATTAATGTCAAAATATTTAGTCTCTTCTTTTCCTCCAGACTGCCTTCCTCACATTCTTCTTCACTATTGTGCAATATCATGAATAGCTGAAAACAGGTTGTGATTCTTCCTGATTTTTCTGCATTGATGCCCTTCCAACAATAGTTTGTACATGGAAAGATGCTTAATCTTACTGCTGCAGTAAACCATTTTGTCTTCCAAGATCAAACCAATCAAGTCAATCCAAAACGTACTGTAAAGGTACTGAGCAGTAGTTATCTTCACGAAGGAGCACTGGATGTCCAAGTGCTGCCTTTACATCATGATTTTTTCTCATAAATATATAAAACATTTCCAATAATATCTATGTCTATACTAGCAATTAAGTTTTATTATCAAAAATAAGAATTCTCAACAGCTGTTCAAGAATAGAATTTCAACAGTTTGGTTAAATAATTTCTGCTAAGCTAACCCTACAGCTATTACCCTCAACTACATAGCATGTCTGTATATTTTAAAAATAACAGACAAGTTACAAAAATCAATTTCACGGAAGTCATATATTGGCATGCCCTGTCTACCTTAACTATAAAGAAATTTAGAATCAATTTTATGAAACATGAACACTTTAGTTGGCCAGCTCAGCTTCTTGTAAGACTTGTAATTAAATTCCAGTAAATTAAATTATCCTAAAGATGACAAAAATATCTCTTGAGAAATTTAAAACATAGTAATTATTTACTTTTTTTAATCAAAAAAGAAAAAAAGGACATTTAGAGTATGTTTTTGATAACACAATTTCAGCAACACAACCAACTGCTGAGCAGGATCTTATCAGAGTATCAATACAAAAAGTAAAATAACAAGTCAGCCTCAATGATGGGAGGATCTGACACTTCTCTATCATTATGCATATCTCTTTGGAAGCAGGAATTTCCTCGGTATTCATAAGCATCTTCCCACAAAGGGAGGAACATCTCTCAAATTTCTTACCAGGCTACATGCAATATTATTAATATACATCTTTCACACATAAATTCTCAATATGGCTAGATGTTTGAAACATTGCTGTGAATACAGTGTTTCATTTTAAACACTTCATCTGAGTTCAAAAAGTTTTAACGCTTACTTATCAAAACCCACTGATTTTACAAAATATATCTGTATTTCAAAAAATATAACAAAAAAATAATACAGGGCTAGAAACTGTATTTCAGATACTGATCATAGTTTTTTGTTTGGATAACAATATCCAACTTCTTTAAAGGCTAGTCCCAGAGATATGAAAGTCAATAAAGAAATCCTGTGATTTACAAATAAACTGGTCATGGTTGCTTCCTATTTCGAGCCCTGCATAACAAATTATGATGATAGCATGACTTTCATGTTGTGAATGTTAAGTATAAACAGGGGTAGAAATTAACCTGTTTTCTCCCACTGTCATCTAATAGGATACTCAAGACAGTTTCCAGTTTGGTTTCTGTATTTATTTATATACCAGACTTTAACTCTTCCTGTGAAACTGGCATGTTTCCAGCTAAGAAAGGGTTCTGAAGTCTTCTGTATTGAAGTGTGAACTATTAAACCAATGCCTTTTACAATTTAAGTATCTAAACAACAAAAGTATAAAATATGCTCAAAGTAAGAATTTTTAACTAATCCAACACTTGGTTGGAAGATGTTATATCTAATCCCCAACTATTTATCGGGCAACTTGATTGTCATTAATTTCAACCCCTGAGAACTGGTGAACAGGAAAGCAGTCAGGAGCAGCAAAGTAAAAGAGTAAGTAATTTTAGGAAAACATTGAAAGAGAGATAGAATTAAGGGTGTGAAAGATGTGAGATTTATGATTTTAAAGTGCAATGTTTTCCACTTACTCTTCACCCCCTTTTTCCCCTTGCGCTCCTTTTTGTATTGTTCCTTGAGTTTGGTTATAACTCCCTGGTCGACATTCCAGGCTTCAGGCATGAGACACTGGTCTTCCTTTTCTAAACAAAGTGAAACAAATGAAACATCCTTTTTCAATAATGTCACCAAGTGATCTCCACTGAAGGAGGCAACAGCTGCTGTCAATGGCATTTGTCTTTTATTTTAAACAGACAGAAATAGCACCAAGCTTGTGAAAGCTGTAAAACTGCTACTCACATTCCATTTCTATTTGCTCAGAATTTTCTTAATAAAAAATTGAGATGAAATTTCACATCTAATTCTTATAACCAAGCACATAGCTGTTCATAAATGTAAGCAACATTTACTTTATAATAAATCAGGACATATTTTTCAGGTTTTTTTCTTTCCTCCAGGGAAAGAATTACTGTATCTAGAAGAAACAGCTATGTTACTCATCAACATAACTTTACAACTCAGATGTTGCATTACTGCATTTTAATTTCTCATTTTATTGTCTTTGTGCTATGTTGTCATTTACACAAAGCAGTAGCACATTTAAATAATTTTGGAACATAGTAGACATGTCACCATGGTTTAAACAAAATCTTAAAGCACTAAAGCCACGAAATTTCGCAAAAAAGGTGAAAGCCTGAATTATTAATCTTTGGAAAAAAACAAAATATTTCAGCATGCCTAACGAAAAAAAGATCCCCATTTTTGTTTTCTTTGGTTTGTTTTTTTTTCTAAATATTTCTCCCAAATTGCTTCCACTGTGACATGATACAGAGAAGAAATATTCTTCCAATTGTACGGTATTTGGAGATTTTGAACAAAGCATCTTACGTGAGTTCAAATCTCCAAGTCATTTTTCCCATATATGGAGAGACTGTTCTGAGGCAGCTTAGAAAAATAATTTGCAGGAGAAGAGGAGGTAATACAGCTTTTCCATATATATATTTTTTTCATAACCACTACAGGTACAAAATTTTTTGAAATTCGTTAACTTTTCGCTTTACTTTCTCATTAAAATCTCAATCTTTTTATTTAAAAATTAATTCCTTTCAGACCAACTTTGCTTTGCAGATCAGTAAGCTATTCTAGACCTTTTTAAAATATGAGCAATAATAAACTTATCCTCAGACTAAGCTGCAGAAATTACATGTCTGTAGAGGAAGCACAACACTATCAATCACAATCTGAACAAGTCACTATGATTGGACAGAAGACAAAAACCAGACATGGGTTATTACAGGGACTGACTTGTCAGAAATGATGCTTGCTGAAAGAGACCTAGGAATCCTCCATAAACATTGAACTCAACAGGATTCAGCAGCATACTCTCGCAGGAAAAGTAATCAACCGCATCCTGGGCTGTATTAACAAGGACGTAACCAGTGAGGGAAGTGACTGTTCCCCTCTATCCAGCACTTGAGATCACACCTGTGAGTGCTGCGTCCAGCGTAATATCTGTAATACTCAGAAACCTTTTAGGTATAATGCTAAGTACCCACTATTGGTGTAGTGTAGCAAGTCTAAGGGAGCCACTAAGATGGTTAAGGCAGTTGGAGCAAATGAGTTACAAGGAGGGGCTGAGACTACTGTTGAGTGTTCAGTAGTAGCAAAAAAAAGCATCTTAGCAGCCTATAACTATCTAATGTACAAGCAATTGAGAAAACAGACTCTGTTTAGACTTACATCACAGAAGAACAAAATACTTTTTGAGATGACCCCTCCTTCCTTTGAACCCTCCAGTCATGATTCTGTATTCACGAGTGAGACTAATTCAAGATGCAAATTTGAGTAGCATAAGTCCTTAGCAGAAGCTATGAAAATAGGTATTACTAAGCTGAAGAGAGACTCTAAAATAGTCTATGGGCTAAGTCATGTCCTCTTAATACATATGCCCCAATTACCACTCATGATCAAAAACTGGATGAAGGACTCAAATAAGATGTGAGAAGATCAGGCTTCAGAGAAACAAGTATGTATTCTTTCTGGGATTAGGTTTCAAGTTTTAATTATGCTTTCTTCCCTGGTTGGACAAGATTTTTTTTTCCTCCCCTCCAGCAAAAAAAAAAAAAAAAGAAAAAGTTTAAATAGCTTTTTATTAGACTGTGTTGTTGCCAGTAAAATACCTAATATATTAATTTTCTACAGACTGTCCCAGGATGCTTCTGACATGTCCTAAAAATTCTGTTCAATTTCAGAAGTGGATCCTGAACTACTCTTGTTCAAGTGCTTTATAGTTTAAAAATTACCTGAACACATCTGAGGACCTTTCAAGCTAAATGGATTCAACGGATTACTATAACTGATACTTGGGATCCAAAGAAAGAATTTTGTCTGTTTGCTTCTGAGGTCACTACACTACATCAGTTACACTTCAAGTAACATCAGTGATTCATAATGGCAGTTCTTTGAAGAAGCTTAGTCTTATATACAGTTACCATAAAAGACACAGGTTGTGAAACAAGTAACTGAAAAACATGAAAACCTCTAACTCATTTCTAGACTACTACTTTTCATGAGAATTTATTTTAAATGTTAGACTTCTGCTCATTTGTACTCAGCTTTCATCAATGAAAGTAAAAATAAACCAGAAGTGTGAATTTGAGAACACAAAGCTCCTGTTGGCATACTGACTTTTCTGTGACACAAGCAATAGCTACACTTACCAAGCATAAACGGATAAAATTTTAATATTAAAGATAAGTATCAGAAAAACCTTTATCATAAAAAAGAGTAATATTCCTAAATTTTTTGTGAATAGAATACTGACTGCTATATCTAATGATATTACAACACATCCTTTTAAGCAGAAAGACTACATCACACAATAATTTAAAGTCCAACCAGGAGTTTGACACGGCTTCAGCAAAATACAGCATCTCAGAGCTGATGGCTCACATGAGAGCTACAGCTACCATGGCTTATTGGTCTGTCACAGTTGTAGTTCCATTATAAAGCTCAGTTATTTCCCATTCATTGTCAATAGTTCCCTCTGTATTCACTTATCCTTAAGACTTTCCAGAGCAGTTTAAGTAGGAAACAACTCCCCGTCAATATATTTAACCAGTTTTCTTCTTTCTCCCCTTCCCTACACAATGGGTTTAGGCAAATAATTATGTCAAGATAAAGTGGATGCTGGCATTCTGGGTTGCAGGACATGAACATCAAAGGACAGAGAACAGTTTGTGAAATGCCTCTTTATGAGTAGTGGGCTTAAAGATAAATTATTCTGCTAAATTTTTAAGGAAAGTTTGAGCAACTGAAGTGTTTATATTGCCCAAATTGCTAACTCACAATAAGAGTACAAGAAATTCAGCCTTTATGACTCACATTATTCTCTGGAGAAAGCAAAGAACACAAAATAACTTTCATATCATAACTGTAAAATACAGCTTTATGAGAGCCCTTCATTAGCATGAGTAATTGGAAAAACACATTGAAACAACACTCATAAAATTTAAATTCTACCTGCCTTAATATTCAAAAGGAAAAATTACCAAAAGCATAAACCACGAAGAATCCTTAAATTAAAGCAGTGTACAGAAAAATGAGAATATTTTTTCAAGAGAGCTTCGGTCTGCCAATTATTTAGGATAGAAATACTCAAAAGGTGCTATGATCCTGACAGAGTTCTCAACTGATCAACCACAATACATTCTTCGCACATTTTGGTTTTTTCCTGGTACAATGCATTCAATTTCCTTACCCCAGTCTGTTCCATCTCCTGAACTTCTCGATTCCCCATCACCATCATCTGAGGTAACCAAAAAGTCAAACTCTTTCAAAGCTTCTTCTGTATCTCTGTCTTCACTGCTCTCAGATAGCACTCTTTTCCTTACAATCTGAAAGGTCAGAAAGGACAGGAAAAAAGGCTGAATTAAGTTACACACACATCTTTATACCGAGCAGTACTGTCTTGTCTTCTATGCAAAATCCAAACAGAAAATTGAAGAGGAAGCAGAAAAGTACACATTAATAAGCAAATCTGGAATAGTATGCAGACTTGGTTCCAGTTTCTAAGTCAAAATGGAATTTGTCTGAAGTTCTTTCTTTCCTGTGACCATCAATAACCAATCATTGATAATGAATTTACACTGACCTAGACCATTACTATCTTTTTTTACTACTGGAAAGTACAAACTTTCTCTTAAAACTGATTTTAAAACGCACAAAACCCACAAACAAAAAACCAAGAATGCTGTAGAAAAGACTTCAGCAAAACCAAACTTACTCTACTTCTCTGAAAATAGCCTTTCTGACCTTCACTTCTGAAATCACTCTTACATGTGGACCAAAACACAGGTCTAGGAAATAAAAAATGAAACCCCAAACCCCACAGTTGTTGAAAGCTAATTTGCATAGATTTAGCAAATCATTCCACCCTGAATACTTTCTCAGATATTATCGTTATTTAAACATGGTGTTTTCATGTTTAAACTGCATTTTCTTTCCAAACTCAAAAGCAAATTCTGGTAAAAGAAAAAAATACACGTTTTAATGAAAGACCTCACTGAATGCTTTCTGCAACAAATTTACTTTTCCCTCCATAATCAAAATGGAATAGATGCTTTACAGTTATTTGACTAACAGGTAAGCTGATGCCATGATACCTGAAAACCACAGCATAAATTCCACTTCTACAGAAGAAGAAAATTTACAATATTACAATATTTTGACTTGGAACCTTGCTAAGGGTCAGTCTGAAGAGACTTCAGTACATAGGCCAACATCTCATAGTTCATGAACATGACTGACTGTTTCCTCTAAATACAGTGAAGAAACTTCAAAAGTTGAAGCAAATCTAAACTTCAAGCTTCATTTCTTCAGCAGGCTTAGTGAACATACTGTATTACAGAAGATTTTACAGAAGAGCCTCCGACATTAGTTCACAGCCCACGGATGACAGGAACAAGTTTACAAAGATCCTCTTGAAAAATGCTGTAAAACTGATGGGGTTTTAAGTGTTTTAATTCTTAAAACTGACCACAAAAATAATCACATCCATCATAACTCTTATCTGCTTCAATAGTTAGGAAACACAACTCACTGAATAAATACTAATTTTTAAAAGAAAAGGATAAAATTGAGTACTGATTGCATGTATCTATTTTATGTCATCATATGAATAAAACATAGCAAAGTATAGATCACAGAGTTGGTAGGTTCAGGCATTTCACCGAACAAAGAAACAAAAAAAGTTTATTAATCACATTAGAGTTCTTCTGGTTATACTTTTTTGTTCCTTCCATAAGCTATTTAAAGAGAAATGTATTTCTCAGCTCTGTATTCTATAAGGACAAATTTCTACAAGTAATTTTAATTATCAAGAATTTTTCAATAAGTATTCAAGAATCAATGTATTTTTGACAGGCAACATTATGAATAATACCTTCAAACTACGCTGAAAATTTTTAAAAAAGGACATCTGATACTTTAAAAAATGTTTCCAATATATAACAAAAAATAGAACTGGAATAGTAAAAAGGAAATTTAAAAAAATTCAATATGTTACTGCAAACTCAGATGGAAAAAAGCTTAACTTGTATGCACAAAGTCAGAAATACATATATAATTCCTCTTATGCACACATGCTTGGACAGAACATCATAAAGATGCATTAACGATTCGCACGTGTACATACACAGTCATATACTTTGCTTATAGGCATCTCATTAATCTCACTTTTTCTGTTCTTCGTAACTTTTTCAATTATTTTTTCCACTCACTGTTGCGGTATCAATGATTGTTTTCTCTCTTCCTTCAATATCTTCTTCATCTTCTTCATCACTAAATTCTGCAGCTGCATTTTCAAGAAACTTGAAGGTCTCTAGCAGAGAGGCAGAGTCAGTCAATTCAGGTTTCCTAAACAACAACAATAACCATCATCATGAGACAAAAGAAATCACAATAAAGTCACTTTTGCAATTACCAATTTGTTTTGTATTATTATGTTCAACAACATATGAGACTAGAATTAGCCTACAAGTAAAAATGGTCTATAACAGTATAAATTTTTGTGGTTAAAGAACTAAACATTAGACATAAACTACCATATTAGAACCAATAAAACTATCATATTATAGCCAACAATTACTCTTCATCTGGTTGCTATTACCAGGATAGACACTTCAATTTTTTATTCAAAAAGCATTTTAAAGCAACATTCATCTGACACATGCCCAAAAGCGACACCAATACTGATATGCCATCACTGAAAGCCTCAGGAACAAGGACATGAGTTACAGCTACCAAGTTGGGTTCCCACATGCACATCAGGAAAATTTTGCTGCTGCTAGCTGATGTTCCTTGTCTTGCTGGGAAATACCAAACTCTGCATTTATTCATTAACTTATGAGACATGATAAATTTGCCACTGTAAAACAATATAATGGGAAAATATCATTGATGACTAAGTAATGTTTACACAGACTTTTACATTAAACAAATAAGGAAATGGATGAAGATTGGATAATATTACGAATGTACTGGCAGAAATTTAGGCAGCGCCTCAGAACAGGAAGCATAAGGGCTGTTATATTACAAACTGAAGAGGAAGAATCCAAGAAGCAGGACAATTATTAAAACTCTGACAAAAGTACAGATAAAGCAGTCCTAAAATTATCAACACGTTCTGTGTTTTCTATGCAGAAGATGCACTTTTCCATCAACCCCTCAAAGATAAAGTCGTGAAAAAAATTTATTCGCTTTGAATTGTTACAACTACTTGCAGTAAAACCTTTTACATTCTTTAGATAGCTTTACAACACTGAAGACAAGCTTTATTGCTTTCTTACCTTTAATCAGTAGTCTGTTTTTCATAGTTCATCACTAAATGCATGTCATCTTGATTCTCACAACCACTGAAACAATAGAAGTCTCTCTCTCTCTTTTCAGAATTGTAGCTCTAAATTGTCTAATCCAGTCTCCTTAATACCAGCAAGTGCTTTGCTTCAGCTACATTTTGCTTCTGCTATGACCCCTTTCAAAATGTTCAATCAACTAACACACCTGTATAGTAAGGCCTTGTAAAGTCCCTGCAGTGTAAACAAACACCCAGTCATCCCTCCATCGCCCACTTACTCCAATATTTCTTCATAACACTTTTCAAGGGTCTGTTACAGGAAACATCCAAGGGCAAAAGCTTTGATGTGTAATAAGGCATGATAAGCAACACACTTCCTTCTTTACGCACTCTCTGCTCCAGCAGTTCTATGCTTACATGTCCATAATTGCCAGGAGTGGTTTCTTCATAGCCCCATTATATCTGCATCTCATTAAGACATTTTGCTAGTCTACTTTTTTTTTTCATTTACTTATCTTTAGGGCCCAGAAATACCAATAGCAATTGGTATTTCTTGTCATTAGAAATTCTCATACACAGCAACATAATATACCATGATGCACAGCATGTTTTCATGGCCACTGGTTTTTCTGAGAATATTCCTTCCACTTTTCCACATCCTAGCTTAGATAAGAACAATCTCAAACATGTTTCCAATTTGCCCTGCTTCCTGCATTATTTTGACCCTCTTGTTTCTATCAAACCTGAAAACACTGTAATATTTTTCTCTTTCCTTAAGCAATCACTACTTTGGCAGACTATAACACCTCGTGAATCTGTAGTAATAATGTATATTTTCACAGAAATCCTATGGTACTTTTCCATTGCTGTTTCCAAAAGACAATTCTTGGTAAGACAAAACTTGTAAAGTGCTTTGTTTGACTAACTTTATGACTTTCAGCAAATTCTGCATGTTCTGGTCTACTTTTAGTGGACTCAAATCATCCAACCACAACTGTATTTCTGTTTTTTCCTCTGTATTTTGCCATGTAAAAATCTGCCATGTAAAAACAGTATGGCTGCTGATCTATGATAGCAACTATCAGACATGCTCCAGTAAACAGCAATGTATGAACTAATACCAAACACAGAATAAAAAATTTCAATTGACAGAATTTATTATTAAGAAACAGACATCCTTCTGTAGGTCCACGTATTTGCAGTAATTCATACCAAGATTTGGCTCTGTACTCATTTGATCTTAAATCATGATCTCTCACACTTAAGTTCAAAGTGACTACCAAAACAGGTTATATCTTTTCTAAGTAACTGGTCCGAATTAAATTATTCTATCCATTATTCCACACTTTAGTGGGCAGGATATATATATAATCCTGTATCTACAGTTACAAGGGGAGAAGGGGTAAAAGGCATCTTATGTATTGGGAAACATAGTAGCTTATTTATCATGTATTTCAAAACCTGCACAGTACAAAAATATACAAAGTCAGTATAGTACCACAGAATATTATTTTGCTAAGGCACAACTTCCAAGAAAGAATTCATAAGAACCAGAAAAATAAAACAGAAGTGATAGAATATTTAAACTATTCAAAGGTTCTGTAGAAGAAAAGTTTCAAGCTGACAGACAGGCTGATTTGCTATATTGTACCCCAATACACTTTAGTAGTCAAATCAAAGTAATTTAATAATTTAGCTATTTTTAATCCTTTAGAAGCACATAAACATAATGCATTTTAGATATTACTGTCAGCATTAACACTTAGGAATAATGTAAAATGTACTTGAGAAAATGTCTGGCCTTAGCTAATTTGTGTTATGTACTTTGATGGCAATTTGAAGTTTGTTTGTTTCATTATTTTCCATCTGGTTAGTTCATTTTTCTTATGGGGTCATTCACAAAGCAACATAAAAAAGCAGAAGTGGCAAAAATATATTCAGAGATAAGGTAGTAAAATGAATTACTTTAAATTCCACTTAAGAAAAAGAAAGTCAATTCAACATTACCAGGGTTTTTGTAGCTTGAAGTATTACCAAAAAAAAAAAAAAAAATAGAATGGAGCTCCAAAAGTGGGGACTGATGCACAAACTGTAGTATTATAAGCATGAGTGAGGTAAGAGTGAGGCAAGGTTCAGAACCTGCTGCAAATAAATAGAGATCAAAAACCTCAAAAATGTCTCAAGAAGGACAATTCCTTTTACTGGACTGTTCCGGATCACAACATATGTAAGGGAGAACACAATTTTCAAAGTGCAAGAACTTAGGATGGCTTTTTCCTTCTTCCCTAGCCATGTAGTCTAATGAAAAACTATTGGAGAAAAATAAGTCAGAAACCCCAGACAGCAGGAACAGCTACAGAACCTGCCAAAGCAGAGAGCATAGAGCAACCAGACTGTGGCAGGACTTCCAACCCTGTGCTCCTCAGCAGCTTGCTCTGAATCTCTTTCTCACTGCTCCTTTCTCAGTCATACTCTGCAAAAGCACTCTTGCGTGTTTTTTTCCCCAACACTTAACTTCTTTCCCTGAGGTTTCATCCCAGTTGACTTAGCACTTCCTAACCAACCAACCAATCAACCAACCAACCAACCAAAAATCATTTAACCAATATAAAATCTTCTATCTGATACTGTTGACTCTGTGTATCACATTCTCCTTTCCAATAGCCTTATCCAATTAGACAGGAAATTCTTTAAGGCAGAGAGATTACCTGCTACTCCTGCCTGCACATGATTAAGTACAACAGGACTAACTGCTTATCACAAGCATAGCAATAAGTAGTGCCAGAAGGTAAGTATAGCTAGACTAAGGCTGCTGAGTTTTCCATCTTACTACTAATGGATGGGACAGTGCACCAATTTCGTGAAGAGTATTCTTAAAAGAGGGAACTTCTGATCCCCAAAGACAAAACACGCTTCCCTGTTTAAAACACAAAATTCTTGTTACAAATGGGATGGTAACTGAAGTACTTACCTCCCCTAAAGCAACATAAACCTGAACTCATGGGAATATTTTCCTCCTCAGGAGAAGCTGTCAGAATTTTCTGCAGCTGTGATGGTTGTGAAAATCTGATCCCAACTTATATTTTACAGGCTGTTCAAATATTCAGATTTGTCTTAACCGATTGACCCCTTTATGACTAAAAATAATTATATCTTCCCATGAAATCTAAAAAATATGATTTGTGGATATTCCACATGTACTATTTAAAGCAAGCCTGCCTCTCTCTAGGGCTCTGCAGGCCATAAAACCACCTCTTTATTTTCTGCCCAAGTGACATGTCTCAAGGCAAGTATTTTGTGTAAAAATCCAATTGGTTCTGACACTGAAATATTAGCAGCTTTACAAAATGTATAGTTGAGAGCGAATGTATTTGCTCTCAACATTAAATATTCAGGATCTTAACATAAATCCTGTTTCTTACTGAGTGAAAAGTAGCAGCCTATAGATAAGGTAAAGTTATGTGGAAACTAAAACAGCACACCAGTGATACCTTTCCTGCTTCCAGCATGATCCAGAACATTTCCTATTGTGAAGTCAAGTTTAACTTAGACTAAAGTCACATCATAGACACGTATTTTTTTTTGTGATTAAGACAATCAATATATCTATCATTACCTTCTCCTTGGTTGATAATAACTCTGGAAAGTCTGTGGTCATGCCCAGGGAGAGTCTCAAACTTCTACCATGAACTGCCCAACCACAAGGCCATTAACTGCCTCATGTCCTACTCACACCCCAAAGGAAAAAGTAAGGCCTTTTTGGTTTGTTTCTTTTATCCAAGACATACACCAGTTATCTTAAATAAAACCAGGATTTTATTGATAAATTCAGAAGCAGGAAGAAATACCACAGTAAAGTTAAATAAATACAAGTTCAGGTTAGGCTGAAAAATGTTTTTGGGGACTGTACAGGAAAGAACCTGTTGTAACCCAGCATTCAGAGCTATTCTACTGTAGTCTTTCTTGAGCCTTTTCTTTGGTTCAGTTTCCTCCTACTATCAAAATATGCTACTGCATGGTCATCATAAGTTTTATCTATTTCCCCTCGAATTTAGTTATC